CATATGTTTATGATTCCGACTATATCATGAGCATGTGTTTATGATTCCGACTATATCATGAGCATGTGTTTATGATTCCGACTATATCATGAGCATGTGTTTATGATTCCGACTATATCATGAGCATGTGTTTATGATTCCGACTATATCATGAGCATGTGTTTATGATTCCGACTATATCATGAGCATATGTTTATGATTCCGACTATATCATGAGCATATGTTTATGATTCCGACTATATCATGAGCATGTGTTTATGATTCCGACTATATCATGAGCATGTGTTTATGATTCCGACTATATCATGAGCATATGTTTATGATTCCGACTATATCATGAGCATGTGTTTATGATTCCGACTATATCATGAGCATGTGTTTATGTTTCTGACTATATCATGAGCATATGTTTATGTTTCTGACTATATCATGAGCATGTGTTTATGATTCCGACTATATCATGAGCATATGTTTATGTTTCTGACTATATCATGAGCATGTGTTTATGATTCCGACTATATCATGAGCATATGTTTATGTTTCTGACTATATCATGAGCATGTGTTTATGATTCCGACTATATCATGAGCATGTGTTTATGATTCCGACTATATCATGAGCATGTGTTTATGATTCCGACTATATCATCAGCATGTGTTTATGATTCCGACTATATCATGAGCATGTGTTTATGATTCCGACTATATCATGAGCATATGTTTATGTTTCTGACTATATCATGAGCATGTGTTTATGATTCCGACTATATCATGAGCATGTGTTTATGATTCCGACTATTTCATGAGCATGTGTTTATGATTCCGACTATATCATGAGCATGTGTTTATGATTCCGACTATATCATGAGCATGTGTTTATGATTCCGACTATATCATGAGCATGTGTTTATGATTCCGACTATATCATGAGCATGTGTTTATGTTTCCGACTATATCATGAGAATGTGTTTATGATTCCGACTATATCATGAGCATGTGTTTATGATTCCGACTATATCATGAGCATGTGTTTATGATTCCGACTATATCATGAGCATGTGTTTATGATTCCGACTATATCATGAGCATGTGTTTATGATTCCGACTATATCATGAGCATATGTTTATGTTTCCGACTATATCATGAGCATGTGTTTATGATTCCGACTATATCATGAGCATATGTTTATGTTTCCGACTATATCATGAGCATGTGTTTATGATTCCGACTATATCATGAGCATATGTTTATGTTTCCGACTATATCATGAGCATGTGTTTATGATTCCGACTATATCATGAGCAGGTGTTGATGTTTCCGACTATATCATGAGCATGTGTTTATGTTTCCGACTATATCATGAGCATGTGTTTATGTTTCCGACTATATCATGAGCATGTGTTTATGTTTCCGACTATATCATGAGCATGTGTTTATGTTTCCGACTATATCATGAGCATGTGTTTATGTTTCCGACTATATGATGAGCATGTGTTTATGATTCCGACTATATCATGAGCATGTGTTTATGATTCCGACTATATCATGAGCATGTGTTTATGATTCCGACTATATCATGAGCATGTGTTTATGATTCCGACTATATCATGAGCATGTGTTTATGATTCCGACTATATCAAGAGCATGTGTTTATGTTTCCGACTATATCATGAGCATGTGTTTATGTTTCCGACTATATCATGAGCATGTGTTTATGTTTCCGACTACATCATGAGCATGTGTTTATGATTCCGACTATATCATGAGCATGTGTTTATGATTCCGACTATATGATGAGCATATGTTTATGATTCCGACTATATCATGAGCATGTGTTTATGATTCCGACTATATCATGAGCATGTGTTTATGATTCCGACTATATCATGAGAATGTGTTTATGATTCCGACTATATCATGAGCATGTGTTTATGATTCCGACTATATCAAGAGCATGTGTTTATGTTTCCGACTATATCAAGAGCATGTGTCTATTTTTCCGACTATATCATGAGCATGTGTTTATGTTTCCGACTATATCATGAGCATGTGTTTATGTTTCCGACTATATCATGAGCATGTGTTTATGTTTCCGACTATATCAAGAGCATGTGTTTATGTTTCCGACTATATCAAGAGCATGTGTTTATGTTTCCGACTATATCATGAGCATGTGTTTATGTTTCCGACTATATCAAGAGCATGTGTTTATGTTTCCGACTATATCAAGAGCATGTGTTTATGTTTCCGACTATATCATGAGCATGTGTTTATGTTTCCGACTATATGATGAGCATGTGTTTATGTTTCCGACTATATCAAGAGCATGTGTTTATGTTTCCGACTATATCAAGAGCAGGTGTTTATGTTTCCGACTATATCAAGAGCAGGTGTTTATGTTTCCGACTATATCAAGAGCATGTGTTTATGTTTCCGACTATATCAAGAGCATGTGTTTATGCATCACTGTCAAATAGTAACGATACCGGTGTTCGCAAGTAATTGCAATGAAGTCAAAAACGTGGCCAGTGACATCAGACAGGTTATGAATTGAAATCAATATTGTTCATGTTGTTGTTAATATGTCTGTACTAAAAATTGTTTGATTGTAAATTAAATTTGTTTGCCATTTTAATAAAGACATGTCTCGCATCAACGTGTTCTCGCTATTCATTTTGGCTATGATTGGTTGGTAGGTTTGTTGTTAAATGCCGCACTCAGCAATATTACAGCTATATGACGGCGGTCTGTAAATAATCGAGTCTGGACCAGACAATCCAGTGATTTGTATTTCTAATGTAGCCTGGTGGCTTACTCATTGCTTAACCAGCATTATTTCTTACATAGTTGCCCAGTTTATATTTTGAGGCAAGCTGTAACGTGTTGAAGATAATTGTTAGTGGACGAATCAATAGAGACACCACACAAGAGTGAGTGAGTATGGTTTTACGCCGCTTTTAGAAGTATTCCAGCAACATCACGGCGGGGGACACCAGGAATGGCCTTCATACATTGTACCCATGTCGGGAATCGAACCCGGGTCTTTGACGTGACGAGCAAACGCTTTCACTACTAGGCTATCCGACCGCCCCTCACCACCGCACATTAACATAACGCATTGTACACATTGTAAGTATAGTTCTGATGGTTGTTGCGGCAGAATAAAGCCCTCCTAAATTAGTTTCCTCCCTCAGTTGTTACTATGCCGGTACAGAGAGCTCCGATGTGAGGAGTTTGTTGACAGTTGTCGATTCACGAGAGCCTATTGTATATTGATAGTGCCACGGCATAGGACTGATATGAAAAGGGGGTTATTGCTGATACGGCACCTCAACAAGATGTCAACGAACGAAAACTGTATCTCGCCCATAGCCACAACGGCTACTGTTGCAAGTCGAAGACGGCAGCTTATTCTTCTTGTTTTCCTATTAAAAACAAGAAATAAACGAGATTTAACTCACAGATTCAAATGTAAACACACATAATTTTGAAATACTAATCCCGTCAAACCTGTTTTAATTAGAAATTAGCCTCTAATCCAATTCACTTGCCGACACTGCTTGGAAGGCACAACTAAGCACGTTGTGAACACGCTGTGGATGTCTGACATGTCGTCCATCACAACTTGGCAACTGTATAACTGCCAAAACACACACATCATGATCTGGTAAAGCTATATGTTAATGGAATACATATCAAATAATATTATTGCCAGTCAGCCACAGACAAATTGCCTACAATAACCTTTGATATTGACTGACCGATTTTCTTGAGCCTTGTTCAACAACTGTTGGTCAAATACTGGATCCAGCTCTGAGACACACACCGTGAATGAAACTATGAGTGAAGTCATTTATCTAGCTCTATGGCGGATCAGCTTTCTATTTGACTCCAATCAAAATAAATCGATAATCCATACAAAATACATTTTTGCTGATAACTTTGCTTCTTAATGAGATTTACATTCTCTGGAAACAAGCGTTCCCACTTTCTCTTCTCACCTACTGTCAGCCATGTTTCACGTACTGTGACGACGCCAATGGGTCTATGTTGTCGTAATTCTTCTGAGTAATTTCCATCCAATCAAGGCTCCCAATACAGCTGCAGAAATCTGGATCTCTTTCAAAACAGGAAAGACAACCAGAATGATCACTGTGAACACTATTGCTACAAACCTACGCACACTAACGTGCAAAGCCATGGCCCTCTTTCATGCATTCACTGGATCAGACAGCGCACCTTCTTTTAAGTTTCAGTGAAAGTGATACTGCTGCAAGTTTATGCACAAAGTGCCATCCCGCATGGAAGAATTCGCAACAGTCATCGATTGTTCAGATAAAACATCGTCAAACCAGAAATTAGTTTGCAACATACTTTGTAGGTTCTACTCTACTGAGTCAAATGAAAAAAATAATGTTGACCACTTTTACCCAAATCACTGGGCAATATTCCATATACAAAAACTTTCATCATTCAGAAAATCAGACAAGATCTTGATGAAAGTGTTGATGTGGAAACCCATAGGCCTACGCTGGCCGATACGTCTCACACCATTTCCTGTTAGTTGAGTGATTTTCAATTGTTCTCAGAGCAGGAAATTCGTGAAGTGGTAATAGACTCAAAATTAAGTTATTGCAACATAGATCCGATCCCTACAAAACTCATGTTTGAAAATTTAGACAGTTTGCCCCAAACCATTGTCTACATCATCAATCAAAGCCTCTCAACTGTTACTGTTCCTACCTGCTTCAAATAAGCTGTCATTAAAACTCAGATTAAGAAGGCAGGTTTGAACAGATATAAGGTAGCTAACTATCGCATTAACTATCGTTACCAGTCTACCCTTCCCCTAAAAAAAACTTGAAAATGAGTAAAACTCAGTTAAGCACAACATTTAAACTCCAATCAGATTTTGGATAAATTCCAATCTGCTTACCGAACTTGACATACTACAGAGACTGCACTTCTCAGGATTCTCAATGATTAACTATGTGCTGTAGATGGTGGCAGTGTTGGCATATTGTTGTCCTCGATTTATCAGCTGCGTTTGACACAACAGACCATGAAAAACTAATCAAGTGCTTACCATCTAAGATGGGCATTGATGGCACTGCTGTGAGTTGGTTTTCTTCGTATTTGTCTGTTAGACGTCAGTCCGTGGTTATTGCTTATGCAATTTACAAAATATTGTGTTGTGTTCCGCAAGGATGGGTACTTACAGTTTACTTAGGAAGTCTAGCACAAATCATACAATTATCATTCCTACGCTGCCGATAGTTGCCAGCCATCTGAAACAAAAGCTGAAAACTCTCGTATAGAGGAAATCATGGATGACTGAGGATTGGCTAAAACTTAATGATAGCCAGCCTCGGGCTAGGTACGGCCATCATGCAAGACAAGAGTAATGTTGGCGAAATTACTTGTTTACCTTGAGCTGGAATTTACTATACAGAATTAGCAAAATACGCAGGTACAACCTTCCTGATATTGTCAATATCAGACATCTGCTGACTGCAGAAGCAACCCATTCTCCTTGTGAAATCTTTCTTAATATCAAGACTTCATTAAGGAAATAGCCTCCTTTATGTCAACATCTTAAAAGATCTCCTCAGTAAACTTCAGTCTGTGCAAAATACAGCTAAATAGAGTACAAACTTATCTCTCTCACTTACCAGTGCCATACGGCTACAGCACCTGATTATCACTCTGAGCTCTTAGACAAACATGCATCTGTCAAATCCCTCCGTTGACAACAAACTTCTGTTTAAAATCCCTGCAACCAGACTGAAATCGTTTGGTAGGAGGACTTACAAGAAATCAGCAGCTGCCCAACCTATTCTACAGGTCTTCACAAGTCTGCTACCCTGTGGAGCTACATGCCAATTGAACAGGAGACTGTCACCCACCCTTCCATCTTTCAAGACTGAACATAAAACACACCTGTTCCATAACTACTGCGGCCTCACTAGGATTGTGTTCATTATATGATGACTTAACTATGTAGCGCCATGAGCATCCACTCGAAAAACAAATGTACCGCGAATGGGACTTCTCTCAGGAAGCTATGCTTAGTCAAACCCTCCCAGAACCTTTCGGAGAATGTGAAGAATCCCCAACAGTGCAGCCTTCTGCATTACCCAGATTGTCAAAAGGGCTGTATTCCTGGTAGCAAACCTGGGTACTCTCCCATTGTGAGTCAACTGATTAGGAGGTACCAAACCTAAGGCACCAAGAAACAATGGTGAGTCGGACAACTTGGTACTTGGGATGCAAGCGTGACATTTCGAAAGCGAGGTCAGCATATTTGCCATGTTTTTCCTGAATCTTGTCAATCACAACAGTGTCAAAGGGGACAGAAATAATATAATACTGAAATTCAAATAATATACTGAACAACAAAAGTTCCTGTGACATTGAATAAGACTTAATTCAAAGTTATGTTCTTTACTAAATCTGAAACATTGTCGGTTTGCAACAGATAAAAGACTCCTGTAAGTGTTCAAATGGTTTAATTTGCCATACTGACTTCAAAACATAACATGAACATGCCAAAATGTCAATTTACAAATCAATAGCGTGTGTGTCCACCTCTGGTTGCGATGCAAGCAACACATCTTCGTCTTATGTAATGGACCAGGCGTTGCACAAAGTCCTGTGGGATATTTGTCCATATCTTCTGGAGCATGTTTCCGAGCTCCTGGAGTGTCTGTGGAACACGTGGTTGACGTCGAAGGCGCGGATCCATCTCATCCCACATGTGCTCGATTGGTGAGAGATCAGGGGAGCGTGTCGGCCAGGGGATGACATTCACGTTGTTTTGTTGAAGAGATTCCTAAACAAGTCGAGCAATAGGAGGCCGTGCGTTGTCATCATGAAAGGTAATGCCTGGGCCATGACGACGCAAAAACGGTAGAACAACAGGGCCGAAGATCTCGTCGCGGTAGCGCTGTCCATTGAGATTTCCCTCTACCACTATCAAACGGGTCCTCTGTCTTGCTGTAATCCCACCCCATACCATAACGCTGCCGCCCCCGAACGGATCTTCCATGACACAATGATTGACGTAACGTTCACCTCGACGTCGGTACACTCGAATCCATCCATCGCTGTGGCTGAGGTGAAAACGAGACTCGTCAGTGAGTAGAACTTGTCCCCACTGCATGGCCGTCCAGCGTAGACGCTGCTTGCACCACTGTAGACGTGCTTGACGGTGGTTTCATGTAAAAATGGGACGTCTGGCGGGTCTTCTGGCGACAACTCCTGCACATCTGAGGCGGCGACGTACGGTTTATGAAGATATTCGTCAAAGGCCAGGGATGCTTCTTGCAGTCACTTGCTGGCTGGAATCGATTTCGTAGGTGTGTTGTTCGAATCCAGTTGTCTTGTCGATTATTGGTTACGCGTGGCCTGCCACTCCGAGAATGGTCTCTGACTGCATTCGTATGTTGCCAACGTCGCCATAAACATCAAATGGTGTTTCTGTGGACGTTAAATTGTCTTGCAACATCACGTTGACTCGATCCTGCTTCAAGCATATCAATGGCTCGCAGACGCTCATTTTCGGACAGGCGTGGCATTTCGTAATGTTGAATAATTGCGTAATTTTGTTGGTTTTCTGAGTGGTTGTTGTCAGCACCATGGTAAACAATGGATATGGAATCCCGTTAACGCACATGTTTTTATACCCATTCTTGGGTAGTGAAATGCATGGGGCTTGCATAAAAGTCAACTTTTGCATGGAATGCATACTTTTTTGTAGCAGTTGCGTTTTTGTGACTTGATTCCATTCATACACTACAATATTGAAAACCAAATTCTACTTGTTTGAAAAATACACTAAAATATTGCTGTCACAGGGACTTTTGTTGTTGAGTATATAAATGATTTCATTTGCTTTATCAAAAAATGGACAAGATCAGGTTTGTTGGCCTGAATACGTCTGAGGCTGTAAATGAGCCTATTCCAAAGAATTTTGTTTTCATCATTTTCCATGACGCCCTCTAAATATTCCAGGTCGTATCATGGATGGACCGCTGTGTCAAAACCACAAGCATGATGAAGACGGTAATAAAATGATCGAGCCACTCCATCATGTCGCTTAAGATACTGTGTCTGTGCCAAAGCTTGGCATTCACTGACAATGTGTTGGACAGTCTCATTAGATTCATTACATAATCTACATTTCATATTTACATTTTGATGTAAAATCACACATTGGCGAGTGGGAAGGGACTGGTCCTGAGCAGCAAACAGAAAGCCTTCTGTTCCACTTTTCAGGCCAGCCGACCTCATCCAGCGCAAAGGAAAGAGGTCGTTCAGATAGCCTCTCCTTGGACCGATTTGATAAGGCACTTCGCTTGGTTGACATTCGTTTCTGTACCGTCCATCCGTACAGAACCATCAACACTGACATTGAGATTGTCCCAAATAATTGGCTCGTTATAGAAAACTGTGGAATGCCTTGTTTTCATCATAAATATTGACATGCTTCACAAGAGGATCATCAGACAAATAAATGTGTGCAAAAGTGCACAAAACAATTCTATCATGAAGAGCCTCCACATTTATCAGTCCACGCCCTCCAATCATCATTGGTAAATATAAGCGATTGAGGGAAGATCGAGGGTGTTGGGATCGATTATCTTCGTTGGGATCCATGATTCTTCGTGTGAGGATGTCAGTACCTTGAATTTCTTGTTTCGTCCAATGAACACCACCACCTGATGAAGGAGTAAGCATATACTCCGAAACGTTGTGTTCCTCATGATAAAGAAGCTGACATCAATAAATTATCTTCCTCATATTGTATGTTGTTTCAAGCTATCTGGTTTAATCGCATGACGTCGACTCTCAATGTCCTTGTATCGTTTACAGTTCACTTATCTAAACAAGCGTTGTCCGGATTACCTCGCCAGGTGACAGGGGGCATCTCAACGTTTGATAATGCTTTTTTCCAGAGTACATTACTGTGTAAGGTACTTGGTTGCAACAATTACACATGAATTGATTGTATCGAAACCTTACATTTTATTGTTTATTTCATTATTTACATAATAACAAGATACTACTATTTAACATTTATATATACCTAAATGATCAATAATCTTTACTTTCAGGCCTTACAAATAGTTGTAAGAAGTAAATGTAAGTTTTAGAAATAAAGATTTTGAAAGATTTATGCAAATTTGTAATAGTTATTATTTAAAAAGGAATAACTCTTTGTAAATGAAAATACTAAATAACATGGCTAGAAAACGTCACTGAGACTATGTAACAAACAATTGCTCATGTCAATCACTGGATTTTCTTGTCCAGACTCGATTATTTACGGAACGCCGTCTTATAGATAGAATATTGCTGAGTGCGGCGGCAAACAACAAATAAACAACAACTTGAGGACGTGAGGACAGATACAAGAGATGTTTTCCTCAGTTGACTCACCGACGTAGAGAGTTCATTTCTACTTGGTATGTGCCTGATAGATTTGCCAAGTTTCGATCAAATACACTGAATGGTTTTCGAATTTTGCCCCGGAAACGAACCCCATCCCCAATTGAGTCTATGTCCAACTTCATTCAATAAAAATTTTAAAAAATAAAGATTAAAAAAATCCCAAAATATCAAAAGGCACCACTTCAGTATGCAAATACACTGAACGGTTTTCGAATTCTGCCCCGGAAATGAACCCCATCCCCAATTGAGTCTATGTCCAAAATACATTCCATAAAAATTTAAAAACATAAAAATTAGAAAACTCCCAAAATATCAAAAGGCACCACTTCAAGTATGTGCCTGATAGATTTGCCAAGTTTCGATCAAATACACTGAATGGTTTTCGAATTCTGCCCCGGAAACGAACCCCATCCCCAAATGAGTCTATGTCCAACTTCATTCCATAAAAAAAAATATTTTTTTTTTTTAGAAAAATCCCAAAATATCAAAAGGCACCACTTTCGATCTCGATCAAATACACTGAATGGTTTTCGAATTCTGCCCCGGAAAAGGAAATGATTACGGACAGACAGACAGACAGACAGACAGACAGACAGACAGACAGACAGACGGACAGACAGACTGGCTGATCGCTATATCCCCCCGCATTATATGCCGGGGGGGGTTTAAATAGATATAACATTATAATAAATATCGCACAATAATATAATTACAGATGAAGTATTATCTTACAAAAAGTGTAGATTTGGTCGATGCAAGTACTGTCATTAGAAATCTTCTAAACTCTTCTAAACCATCAACCCAACTTCAATATAAAATTTCCATATAATTTTGACGTGAATTTAAAATATATGTTAAATTACCTGTCCGATCATTCGATATTCAGGTGGGCTGGGTTTAGGACTTTGTCTGGAGATTAACATAACTATTTCTTTCAAGAACTTAAAATCCCATCCCCTCCCCTTCATTTCAATGTTTAGCGCTTTATCAATTCGGACACAGAAGTCGTAAAAGGAAATGTATTCAATCCTAATGACTTCGGCACATGTAATGTGTTTTCTAGGTGTCTAGCCGGGAGAGCCACATTTCAGAAATGGCTATTGCCGGTAGAGCCACATTTTCAGCTGAGTGCATTTCACCTATTCTAGCGGGTAATTAATCTATCCGATTACCGATACCTTTATATGAGTGTCCCACATTTAAATTACTAAGCGTGGTGTTCTTTAGAGATCAAAGGCGGTCTTAATTGACAATGAGTTCATCCTGTTATTCATAATATATTTAAGTGACGTCGTGTAACCTATATCTAAACTCAAATAGCCAAATCAAAAAAGTGCTCAGCAAACCACTAACCAAACCAAAAATTCTCCATCCATCAAAAAAAATCGACAGAGTAATCACTAAACTCCAAACAGGACACACCAACCCAACTAACCACTTAAAAAAATAAAAAAACACACTACAGGTAACTGCCCACACTGCAAACAACAAGAAACCCCAGAACACGCACTCATCCACTGCACACACTACCTAACAACATTACCGCATTACAAACCACCCTCAATCTAAACAAGGCTCTCACTCTAGAAGCAATACTAAACCCACAAAATAAACTAGAAAACTTCAAGGCCTTAGGCGTATTCTTAATAAAAACGGAACTAATAAAACGCATCTAAAAACTCAATAACCTACCCAAATCAAAATCACATAAACAAACAAACATCCACCATACCCAGCTCCCTTAGTTCTCCTCCCCAACCCCATCGGCATCTATTCCAAATCTTAAAATTCCCAAATTCTATATAAGCAACCCCTAAACCCCCTTCTTGGGTTGCACCGACCACTTTCGCCCCTTTCGGAAACACATTAAATGGCCTGGCCGGGCCCGTGTGCGAAATACGCATCAGTCGGAAAGCGCACGTTATATCTCCAAAGTAAGTAAGTAAGCACTTCATATCAGAACCATGGCAAACGCACAAGTTCAAATAAAGTTCATTGAAAGTGTCAGAGGAGGCGTACATTTGTACTATGATGGCTTTAAGTTTCGGTCTAAGAGCAGTCGTGGTGAAAGAAGATACTGGTTCTGTATTGTCAAGGAGTGCACTGCAAGGCTCACAACTCTCGGTGAGTTGCTCCACGCCATTGAGATCATGGGTCACTCCCAAGACCCACTACCATTCGAGTTTGAGGTTGATGCCTTTAAGGCTAGACTGATGGAGAGAGCGAGGACAGAAACGACACCTATACCCACTATCTACGGAGAGGAGATATCCAGACTACGCCAACATCACGACATCGTCTCAGATGACCTCCTGAAGCAGATACCAGCCCTGAAGTCTCTCACCACTATCCTCTACCGCCAGAGACACAAGACCTTGCCCCGCCTTCCTGACAGCAGACCCCAGATCCAGCTGGAGGAGAAGTACTCCCAGACTGAGGGAGGCGACCAGTTCCTACACCGTGTTAGTGACGACATCCTCATCTTCACTACAGACAAGAACATTGAACATTTGTGTACTGCAGACATTGTATTTTGTGATGGTACATTTTATGCCTGTCCCAAGTTGTTTGATTAGATTTATTGTTTACATGCTGAGGTGTTTGGCCGTATGTTTCCATTAGTTTACTGTTTGTTGTCCAATCGAACAAAAGAGTGTTATGTCAACATGTTTCAGTACCTATGCGATTTTGCTAGTAGAGGAGGTCTAGAGTTTGCCCCACTTACAATTCAGTTGGACTTTGAACGTGCAGCTCACAATGCCGTGACTGATGTATTTCCTGGGACATTAGTTAGAGGGTGTTACTTTCACTTTGTTATATACGGTAACCTGTTAGAATCACAAAGCATGTTTTGACAGCAAAGCCGCGAGAGCCACATTATACAATCACGCAACCATAACCATTGCCGCGAGAGCCACATCAACTTGGGCTATCTATTTTCGAAATGTGGCTTTTCCGGCCTGTAACCGTTTTCTATTAAATGCGCAAATAAGACTATGACATACGGAAAAGGTTTTCCGGGCGATGCCTAAAGTTCCTGCTAAACTTACAGTATAAGTATGACACCGGGTTGTTTTTTTTATCATACGTTGTAACAGCAAGTGTCCATTTCCCCATGTCAATAGAATATCCTTGAAATATCAACTGCAGATACTTACTAAAATATAAATTAAGAGGATCATGGGAAAAGTACGACACGTAGCTACAATAAAATCAAGTAAAACGTATTTAACCTGTAAAAAAACATCAACATCATTCACAAATGTACTACATTATTTGTAGTGAGTCTCAACATTGTTGTCGCGGGTTGGTTGTTATCGGCGTGGTACGTATTCATGTAGTTGTCGACAGACGCTTATGAAACACATTTTATAACTTTCTGTTATGTACCCGACAGCGCATGCAGATCACAAAGGGGGCATTGACTGAAGGATCGGGGCGAGGCCACCTTGATCTGGTGGTTTCAGTCAAACAAACAACACCTGATCGTTTCGTCTCTGCTCACCAGTGAATACAAGATATAAATACATCCAGTAGTAGTCATTGAACAAGAATTAATATGTTCACAGATCACGTGTGCTCACGGACCATTACTGCAACAGTGACAGGTTGCATTACATCGAGTTTCACAAACATCTGGTATCGTCGCTGTAAGTACAATCATGTTAAATAGATTCATCATTCGTCGCTTCCCATGATATTGTATAACATCAGTTCCCTTTCTTTATAGAGGTAGACATATAACACATACAGTGTATTTCATACTGCATTGTTGTATTGTAACTCTTTATTCACAAAACTAATGTTCCTGTATTTAACCACAAAATGTACAGTTCAGTATCACTCCAAGTTGAATAGTATCAAAAACAACTAATGAATTATATATCTGAAGGAAGTCTTGGTTTTCCTCGTTCCACATTAAGGAGATTTTAATGATATATGCGAGTGTATATGCAAATTATGTGAGTGGTCTGTGCTACTGGTAAGAAAGGGCATGCTTAGCCTTGTCGCTAGGACCTTGTGGCATCGCTGATTTTGAGTGATCCATTGATTGAGGTCTCTCCACTATTTTGCCCTTTTTCGCCAAATGGAACCTGTTTCGCTGGATAATCGAGACTGGATATTCGCCGGCGTTGACATGTTCTCAGTGTCGATACTCTGTGTTATACCAGTACATTCGTTAACATATCCTGTGTCGTGGACACGATACCTGTCAGAATCTGCATAATACATTATGGTTCCTATCACCTTCAAAGCTAGTATATCCAATACAATAAATAAACCAGTTTGTTCTGATTCTGTTGCAATACTCATGAAGTAAGCTGAAATAGACAAATTGGAAAGCTGAAGTGTGAAATATATAATGTTTAAACTTACTCGACTGAATAATTAATTCAGTAAAAGCTAATCAAATAAAACTCCAATATGTATATACAAACATTACATCGTGTTACCTATCCAACAGTGTATAAACACGAGGGACACCTCCAAGACATATTTGAATCTTCTCTCCACGATCAAAGCACCATTGGAAAAAAGAGAAGCAAAAATGAAATAAGAATGGGATTTTCTTGTTACAAATTGGGACTGCCTAAAAGTCGGGCCAAGAAAAGTCGGGCCGGGCCGGGCCAGCGGGTAATACTAAAAATAGATTGCAGAATAATAAAACGAAATGTGCATATCTAGGCAGATCTCAAATGTCCAGAAACGGATAGTTTTGCTCATTTAATTGAGTTTGAATCAAAATGTATCTTCAGCAATGTAATGAACTGATAATTATAGCTACATACCGAGAGTTCATACCGAAAAGTCAGTGTCTTGACTGTGTCTTTACTTTGATGAGAAGGTTTCTCACCGACCTTAGCGTGCAGGGGTGTGATGTCCTGGGCAGGAATTCGAAATGACAGTGTTTTGACTACTCTTCTTTCATTAATTAACGTGTTTGGCATACCTAATTAACCTTTACTAATTCATGTTAAACCAACACAGGATGATTTCTGCAAGTGGATATTCGCGAATGTGATAGGACTGACACGACACGTGTTAATAACTGTCAAAGCGCTTCTAAAAATACAACACATACTTTACATCTATAGACTAATTATAATATCATATCTACCTATATAACACTTTAGTGTCTCATATTGCAGTAGCAAACACGCCGCTCAAAAGTGAAGCCCTTTTCCCTCTACATTCTCAACATAATCTCTATCAGAAGTGTTTGTCTTGTGTTGGGTCCGACTTGGCCCGGGCGGTCAATATCAACTTTAAACACACAGACATATCTTCAAATGTGTTTACATCTATAGATTAGTGTTATATCTACCTACAAACCACTTTATAATGTGACGGTACATCGTATTTAAAGAAAACAAGGGGCTCAAAGTCAAGCATTTCTACTGCATTTTCTGAAGAAAATCTCTGTCAGAAGTGTTCGGTCCGACTTTGCCCGGGCTGTCTAAATCAACTTAAACCTCACAGATGTATCATCAAATGGATTCACATATATAGATTAGTATTATATCCACCTAAAGACTACTTTAAGTGTCTCAGATCGCTGTAATTAAAGAAAACAAGGTGCTCAAAGTGAAGCCCTTTTCCCTCTACATTCTCAACAGTCTCTATCAGAAGTGTTTTGCTTGTGTTGGGTCCGACTTGGCCCAGGCGGTCAAAATCAACTTTAAACACACAGACGTATCTTCAAATGTGTTTACATCTATGGATTAGTGCTATATCTACCTACATACCTCTTTATAATGTCACGGTACATCGTATTTAAAGAAAACAAGGGACTCAAAGTAAAGTATTTGCTACTGTATTTTCTTAAGAAAATCTCTGTCAGAAGTGTTCGGTCCGACTTTGCCCGGGCTGTCTAAATCAACCTAAACCTCACAGATGTATCATCAAATGGATTTACATCTATAGATTAGTATTATATCCACCTAAATACCACTTTCTAGTGTCTCAGGTCGCTGTACTTAAAGAAAACAAGGTGCTCAAAGTGAAGCCCTTTTCCCTCTACATTCTCAACATAGTCCCTATCAGAAGTGTTTGTCTTGTGTCGGGTCCGACTTGGCCCGGGCGGTCAAAATCAACTTTAAACACACAGATGTAGCATTTAGTGAAGCATTTTTACTGTATTTTCTTAAGAAATTCTGTGTCAGAAGTGGTCGCGTATTTTTGTGCTTAAGTCACTTGGACATTGTTTAGCTTCATGAACTGTTCATAAGAAACATGTCAGACAGTTTTGACATCATTGATGACTTAGTCTTATGAGATGTGTAAACCTTAGGGGAAATGAGTCTCAAGTAAATACAGAAACAGAGGGTCTAAAATTGCCACAGTGTTTGGCCCGAAAGTCTATTTAGGATTTAAATTGTGATTAAGGAAGTAGAGGGTAGAGGGAGAACAAGATAACAAATCTTAACAAAACCTACCTGCCAAACAAGTGCTAGTTCGTTCGTATCCGTAATCCGTCACAAACTGTGATGAACGCATAGTGTGTTCGATGAAGGAAATACAGCCCTTCAGATCTTTGTTTACTGAATACACCTTGACCTATGTTCAGTGATATAATTTATAAGATATTGAAGCTACATGGCCGCCCATAGTTTCGAGGAAATGTCCTGGCTACACTTCAAGGTTTCGTGCTCAACTAATATATATGAATGTATATGATGTCTCATCTTGATGTACTTTAATAATGCAATTCGACAAAGAACATGTACAGATGCCTCGACGGCATTTTGGACAGTGAACTACAAGTACAGGTAAACAGGGCTTTTAATGCTCATGTGTGTCAGGTTGCCCTTACCTCGCCGTCACATCTGTACACAAAGCAAGTGCATATTCTAAACTAGGCTACATTTGCATTTCTTTAGCCGTTTACAAATGCCTCGACAACATTTTTCACACATGAATGACTTCAACCTTGGCTCTCAACTAGTACAGATAAACATGTCTATTAATGCTCATGTGTGTCAGGTTGACCCAACCTCGCCGTCGTATCTGTACACAAAACAAGTCTATAGTCTAAACTAGGCTACATATGCATTTCTTCAGCCGTTTCAATAATGCAGCGCGCTGTCACAGCATGCTGTGTTAGTCTGTACAGCACAATGTATTTTATTAGTAATTGGTAGATCCTTCATATTTTTGCCATTCATTTCACATATGCCTCGGTAGAATTGAGGTAGGGGAAGGACTTCTGGTCAGTTAACAAGGTATTCAGATATCCAGAAACTCGTTTATCCAGACAACATCTTAGAAAATTGTCCGGATATGCGAGGTTCGACTGTATACATGCGCGTGATACATGACAAAACAGATGTGTTAGGACCTGATTCGCACTTGCTGAATGGACCCTGATCATAATACATTGGTTGCCTATTATTATTATTATTATTAAACATATTGTATTGCCCCAAAAGACCAAGGGATTGGGCACAAGTGCAACACTTATTACCACCTTCTCCCTATATACAGTTATACATAATATTGCCTAATGAAAATTAACAATTTACAGTTGAATCATCACATTGTGAGGTTTAAGTTGATTTTGAGAGCCCGGGCCAAGTCGGACCGAACACTTCTGACAGAGATTTTCTAAAGAAAATACAGTGAAAATGCTTGACTTTGAGCCCCTTGTTTTCTTTAAATACGATGTACCGTACTAATCTATAGATGTAAACACATTTGAAGATACATCTGTGAGGTGTAAGTTGATTTTGACAGCCCGGGCCAAGTCGGACCGAACACTTCTGACAGAGATTTTCTAAAGAAAATACAGTAAAAATGCTTCACTTTGAGCACCTTGTTTTCTTTAAGTACAGCGATCTGAGACACTATAAAGTGGTATTTAGGTAGATAGTATACTTGTTTATAGATGTGAATCCATTTGATGATACATATGTGAGTATAAAGTTGATTTTGACAGCCCGGGCCAAGTCGGACCGAACACCTGTGTGACTGTTGAGAGTTTAGGGAGAAGAGGTCTACTTTAACCAACGTGTCTGCTTGAAAAACGACCATCAGTGACATTATAAAGTGGTATTTACTTATATATAGAACGTTCCTATAAATATAAACACTATGCGCACAGATGGAATGTTGTATCACGATAGCTAGAAGTATCTGATACGTTTCAAATCTTATTTCGTTTAACGATTGCTCTTTTACATGTTACCAAGATCAGCGACGCTTACACACTGCTTCACTTTATGGTTTTCAAGCGATTTACTCCGAATTACTTATTTATGGTGCACTGTTTTGTTTGGTGATTGTTCATTAATGTCATGTGTGTATGTTGTATCAATTATATGTAGGTATGGTCGCCGATAATGAAGTAATTAGCCAGTAACACTTTGGCCCGTCTTGGCCCGGCCCGGCCCGACTTTTAGGCAATGCCTTACAAATTGCCTCATTTCAGCTATCCACAACTTAAAACGGGAAATATCAGACCTGAAGACCAAGCTTGATCTAATTTGGTTCCCATTTACAAAAGCAAACCAAGCCTTTTTTGCCAAATCATGGCAGGTTTACCATAAGTAGTATTTAAAATAATATCAATACACGCGCGTAATACACACTTATTTCCAGAAGTATGTAATGTTAAGGCATTGATTTTCTGTTTATTCTGTTCAGTTGGTACAATTATAATCATGCAGGTGGTATAATCACATTATATATGTACAGCATCACACTTCGAATGTGATAACGACGACATAGTAACACGAGGGACCCGATTTGTTGCAGTGGATTTCTTAAATATGAACAGGTATAAGCGGTTATGTGCGGAGAATAAATGTATCAGTGTCAGGGCATTGATTTATCTAGACCTGCCCAGAGACTGATATTCTGCCACAGGTCTGTAGCATATGTCAATGATAATTTCCTGTAATGTTTTGACTTTATAATGTAAAGACAACCAATAACTGGGAGATGCTTTAATTTTTGCTTTGAATGTCGAGCAAACTGTAAGACTTTTTCTATGATGCCGAATTTAGGACTGACCTTGTAAATAGAGATGTGTTTAAGATTAGATTTGTAATAAGCTGTGCTGTAAATTAAAAATCCTCGTTCGTGGCTGACTGGCTGTTCCACCTATTTGCCTGCACTCTTACGTTAAGAGATGAAACAATGTGTCGTTTATGTTAAAATAAATCACATTGTTTTATTCGTGCTGTGTTTTATTATCAATAATTTCGTACAGCAATAAGTAGATTTTGTATTTGTCTTTATATACATTTAGGTCAGTCAATCACGTGACACTGATCCGCCGTCATATAGCTGGAATATTGCTGAGTGCGGCGTTAAACAACAACACACAAAAAACACACTGAACATTCCACCAGAGCATTATGGGGCCGTGCTGACGCATGTGAAAATACTTGAAATTTTGTGTCGCTGGTTATTGGATTCAGGTGGGGTTTCTGCCTTCCAGTTGTCCATAACTATCAGCGCTAAATACTGTAAAGTGTTGGCTTCCATTGTCTATTGCTAATCGCCTTTCGGCGCCAATCATCTGTTGACTTCGCTTGTTAAGTTTCATCCTTTTGTTATCTTATTACTTTTGTTGTTCTTATGTGTACATATATATGCTCTCTTCCTCATAATATACATTCACCTGATGAAGGAGTAAGCATATACCCCGAAACGTTGTGTTCCTCATAATAAAGAAGTTGACATCCATAAATTCTTTTCCGTGATGTATGTTACGGTTCCACCGATGGAGAATTGATGTCGGTGCGTCATTTTGATTGACTGATCTGACAGAACAATGGTGGCCATGATACGTTAGTTGACGTCTGTCTAATAATTGCACAGGCGGTGAATTGGGCTCAGAATAGTTTGGTACCAGTCGTGAGTCACAAAAATCTAAAGAGTAGGGTTATATATCATCTGTTTGGGGTTATAGTTTAGTTGTCAAATGGTATATGGGGAGTGAAAATGAAGGATATGTCCGATGTAATGGTGTATCGGCTGAAAGTTAGAAGCGTGCACTATTTCGAAGCTATAATGTCATGTAGAGTATATTATCCTGCGAATATATAGCATGTCAATAATGTAGTATTGTATAATGGGCGGGGTAGCAAAACTTTGTTTTTATTTCCCTCGTAATTGTATGGAAAGTATTGGAAACCGTAAACCCAAGCACAAGTTGCAAATTATGTGGATATCTATGAATAGATTGTCAACAGTTACATCGCCCACGTTTTATATCTGGTGCTCTTGGTAAAACCAATATAACCTGAGTTGAACAGAAATAAAAAGTTGATAAAATCAAAGCAGCTCGTTATTTCCCCTCACTTTGACATTGGTTTTTGTTATATAATAAATTAATCATAACATATTTTATTTGGGCATATAGAACATGGGGTTGGGGATGTCACCAAGGATAAATCTAGACCCCCTCAAAGGCCAAATCTGCATTAGATTTCAGTACACTTTCCCTCTTCAATGGTTATAACATGTCTATGACATCCTTAAGTAACGCAGAATTTAAGGAAATTACACGTTGTAAGTGTTTTCCCAATCTGTTGACCAAGGTAACTTAGTTTGGAATTCTAAATTTAGATACAAATCCCCGGTCACACTTCCAGAATCTTGGACTATAATGAACTGCCAGTATTTAGGTACATGTATGTGACAACAGTGGAAAACATTGAGCACCTGTAATTGCCATGGTTATGGCTAATCAATCAAATCCATATTCTATAACCTTTGGTGGCAGAATTATCAGAAAAGAGGGTCTGCAGTACTTCCCATCAATAAACTTGCATTGACAAAATATACAACACAGATTAAAATTCATATATGATCTTTAATTCAAAAGAATTGTCATGATTTGTCAAGAATTATTATTGTTAACAACTAAATATGTAAATTAAATAAAACAAATATCTCATAAGGAAGAGTATTTATGTATGTTAACCTCTTTATTATGAGGAACACTACCTTGTGTTCATACATTGATATGCAAATATCAGGTAGCTGGACACCTTCAATTCATTAGCTACTTAAACATACATACCAAGTATGCTTCACAAATACTTTTCCTTAAATAATATAAATACACTCAAACAGGTATTCAGACGAGTTCCTTTTCTTGGATACTGACTTATTGTCATCCATAATGTCATAAAGGTGTTCTAAAATTTGGTAAAGTCCTATCGAAATTTTAAAAATCCAGATAAATATGTCTTGAAGCCAGCAAAATCATTGTCAAGTAAATGTGAAGCTTATTTTCAACTTATTTATAACCAATAAACACTAGCTCACACTCAGTTATCAAATATTGACAATCTCCTCAAATCATGGTAAAGAATTACTTCTTGGGTTAAACACATTTAAATATTCATCACAGTAATATATTAAATGTATTAAAAATTATATAAATTATTCTGTATCTGAATTGATTAGGCACTATGGATAATGCCTGATCAGGGTGTGACTTCGATAAGAGATGAGATAGTGTCTTTGTTTTTACAAATTCTTTGTATCTTGAAATAAGTTTTATGCTTTTTGATATTGGTAATCACTTTCAATACTATCTTTTTAAAAATATATATTACTTAAAAAGAAATAATATAATGTCCTATAGAAAGAGCCAACGAGCTCAGGTTTATACCAGGTGGATGTTGTACCATGAATCATTTAGTGTTTGTTTGTTAGTTCTGCAATTAAATCATATTAATCTGACTTTGATAAGGCATCAATTAAATAATTGGTTGGAATAATTACTTGATTAGATTATAAATTATATCATTACTTGACAATGTTCCTCTGAGTTCATAAAAATCTTGTTATCATGTCCAGTAAATTAATTAAAATGATTTGAAATCGTTTTTAATAGTTGTAACATTTCACGAAAATGTTTATCCTTAAGGTTCCACTACCAATAAATAACTTATGTTGTAAACAATTCTTAACCAATATTTTTTTATTATTAGCTCAGATAATTTGTTTTTAATTTCTATCTGTCTAAATATTTCAGTAATTCTCTTCCTTCTCACAAAATATTCCTCTTCTTTCTAACCTTGAGTGATGACTCCATTTCACAAGAATAGGATCAGGTAATTCATTACTGCATGGGCCCTGTCTCGAGTAATTTAACAGATATAGGCTTATTGCGATTTTTGTATTCAACTAAAATCATATCTAAGAATCTGTAACAAAATAAATAATATCTGAGGGAGAGGACATCAATTTCAACCAGATTGTACTTCAATGTAAGTAATGGTAGATTTCGACATTTAACTATTGGTGAGGCCTTCCGCACAGCTTGATCAGCCTCAAACATTTTTCACCCGACCCTGCTGGGTTTGTGTAAGGGTATACACTTAATCCCAGCGATACGGGATGGATACCGCGAGTGACAATAGCACAAACCGTTGGCACTTCGCTTCTCGGGCATCGTTTGAGTATGTCTGAAAAATCCGCAGCCTTCTGATTGGCTGAAACTGACGCATGCGCCAATTTTGATTAACAGACTGGATCGGTCTGCAGTAACTCAAAAAGTGTACTTTAGCGCAGGATAAAGTAATGGCGGGGCCTTTGATCTTTAAGCGAAGCAAAACATGTTATGCTGCCCCATAGAAGTAAACACAAGCCTGGGAAACCAACTACAGCATAACACACAACTTCCTCATGAAACTAGTAATGTTTACAATAACAAAGAAGATGGTAACAATGAGAAAATACAAAGTTTTTACTTTTTTTCAGATTTGGTCGGTGGAGAATTTAGAGATGCCAAAGTATATCCTGCTTGTCATAATATTTGGTAAGCTATTTGTTGTTCATAAGTATATGTATGTACACATACACCACTTAATAGCTCACCTGAACGCAACAACTTTTGTGAGCTATATAAACATGTACTGATGGCATGTATGTCTGTTATAGATCTTACACTTGTGAATCTCCTCTAAAACCATCATATCTACATTGTAGATATCGCTGCAATGAAATTGCATCACAATGCTTTGCAGACCATTGTGATGTCATTGTTATCATGACGTCACTTCTAGTGTCCCCCGCCGTGATATTGCTGGAATATTGCTAAAAGCGGCGTAAAACCATACTCACTCACTCACTCATGACATCACAATCAAATGATACCATTAACAGCTCTGCTATTTAAACTGTTAGCAGTACTTTTTACACTTGCTCATTACTGTCTACAAACTGAACGAAAGTTGGAAGAATGATTTTGGATGATAAATAAATACTCACCCTCTTGTCTTTGATATCAAATATATCAAAACTCGTTGAATCAACTCGTGTTGATATATTTGATATCAAAAGACACTCGGGTGAGATTCTCTATGACAATTATATTAAGTTGTTATTAGTTTCTATTTCTATTCAGAAATTTCCAGACATAAAGCTGAGGTTATCTATTGTATCCCTTATATATTTTGTTCAATTCAATAAATTTTAGTATTGTGTCTATGTATTTTATAACCAAATAACTAAATAGAAATGTTGATAACAACTTCAGAAGGGTTGTCAGTGACTGTTGACTACATACCCACGTGAGAGACAGTGCAATTGCACTATATTTCTGACATACAGCTAGTTCTTTTACTGTACTCGTGAACTCATATTAGATGTGAAAATCGAAAATGGAACAATCAATTATACGAATGTGTCAACGGTTTATAAACGTGATTATTTCTCTGTTTCAGTATTCCAGGGAAATGGTGAGGAGTGTCCCTTGGGTAAATATGGTGAAACTTGTGAGGAAACGTGCAGCCCTAACTGTGCGCCTTCTCTTACTGACCAGTCAGTCCACTGTCACAAACTGACTGGAAGATGTTCGGAAGGCTGCAAGAGAGGCTGGCATGGTGACCAGTGTAATGACCTATGCAGCAAGAACTGTCTCAACAGCATATGTAACGTACAGACTGGAACTTGTATAAACTGCGAAGTAAACTATTCAGGGGATTATTGTGAGACATCAGGAGGTACGTGGTATTTTTGTTGTTTTTTATCTTTATGATAACATATGCACAATTATCCGTCCATCAAATGATACCCGATACGCTCCAGGGAGTGATTACTGTATATGAAAAGCACACATACTTTTCGCTGTATCAGCATGATCGAAGGTAATTCTATTCACTATCAGGCAGCAGCATTTTGTAACCTATAGACACTAGATTTTAATTTCAGTAAGCAGACTCTTTGAAAGCTGACTACCAAGTATGATTACCCGTGAAGATCCGGGTTAAAATAGGTCTTCAGCAACCCATGCTTGCCGTAAAAGCCGACTATGCATGTCATAAGAGATGACTGACAGGATCGGGTGGCCAGGCTCGCTGACTTGATTCATGCATGTCATCGTATCCAAATTGCGCGGAACTATTATTTACAGACGGCCGTCATGTATACTCACACGCAAAAGAAACGCAAGTCGAGTATGCAGTAAACATGTTATTTATTTTCAACAGTTAAGACAAGAAATACTAATAGGGCAAGATTGACAAAAATTTGACTGAAGACTTTTTAATGGATTAAAAGGCAGATGACATAATTGTTTTTTTCAAATGTTAAGGGCTTACACAGTTTCGGGTCAATACCAAAAATGTCAGTCAATACCTGGTATGACCACCATTAGCATTGATCACTGCCACACATCTCCTGTACAATGAGTGGATCAGACGATTTGTGAATGCCCTAGGGATCCCCCTGCACACATCCAGAGCAGCTGTGCGTAGTTCATCGGCAGTTGTAGGGACTGCGCGAACATTGTGCATACGCCTTTGAACCTCATCCCACAAGTGTTAAATGGGGTTCAGATCAGGGCTGAGGGCTGGCCACGGTAGAACACGGATGTTGTGTTGTTGCAGAAAGGCCATGTCCTGCTGGAACATGTGTTGTTGATGTGCAAAAAATGGAACAACGTGGGGTCTGATCACATATACCGCTGAGCAGCGACGCCGTGTCCCCGACCTTTGACCAACATTCAGAAAGCACATGGGTCCAAGTCTCGCATTAAGTCCAATCCCTGCCCATATCATGACGCTAGGTCCACCCCATGGATCCCTTTCCACAACGTTTCTGTCAGCAAAACGATCACCTCGACGCCGCCAAATTCTGACTCTTCCGTCTGCATGGGAGACACAAAAGCGACTTTCATCAGAGAAGATGACACGCCTCCACTCACGATGACGCCAATTGTGATGACCCTGTGCCCACTGAAGTCGTGCTTGTCGATGCCGTGGTTGGAGAACAGGACGACGTGCTGGTCGGCGACATCTGAGGTTGTTGGAACGGAGACGTCGGATCACAGTGTCTGGGCTAATGGGTCGATTATGTGTTCCTATGGTCTGTCGAGCACTTTCACTTAGGAACGGATGTCGCTGGTGTTGACGGGTAATCTGTCGATCTTGTCGAGGTGTGGTGACCCTAGGACGACCGCTCCGAGGAAGGTCATCTGTGGTCTGTGTAGCGTTGTATCGATGCAGGAGACGGTAAATTGTGGTTATGTTAACGTTGAAATGACGGGCAACATCTTGGACAGACTCTCCAGCTTCCAAACGTCCGATAGCCTGGTTTCTCTGAATTTGAGTTAGGCGTGGCATTGTTGACCAAGGAGTGGTAGGTCCAAGAATCGGCCACAGTTTTATACCCACTACAGTTCGTGACAGTTCGTGCATTTTCGATTTATGGGAGCGAGAAATGGGTGCGTGATTCCCACATATTCATTGAAATGGTGCGTTTTGGCGATTCGTTTTTTTAAGTTGCGTTTTTACTCGGGGCTTCCTAAATGCAACCAGATATATTGATAACATCATCAAGCTTCACTACATGCTAAAACTCGTATCAATTTATGGTTCCGTGTTTGTTACCTATTTGCTTAAAACCACTTGCGTTTCTTTTGCGTGTGAGTTTAAATAGAATATTGCTGAGTGCGGCGTTGAACAACAACTAAACAAACAAAGCCAAGTATGCATGAGCTAACTGCACATTATTTTATCAGAGGCTGGTATTCAGGCCCCAAGTCGACAGCATCTGTCAGTACAATTCCATAACTAGAAGTAACCATTTTCCAATTTATGTTGTTACAGCTATGACTAATTGTATGGCCCCACGACGGTCCAGTTAAGACTTTGTCTTTAGCAACCGGTGCTTGTCGTACGAGGCGACTAACGGGATCGAGTGGCCAGGCTCGCTGACTTGGTTAAGTACGTCATAACCCAAACTCATACATTAAGTTAAACCAGTTGGGTAATCAATTAAACCAGTTAATTAATCAGCCCAGTAAGGGAATGAAGAGGGGAGTAGCACAACCAACCTGGTTATGACTCACAATGACAAATTATATACCAATGATATAGTTTTCAGTTTGGTGCTTTCCAATCAAACACTAAATAATCAAACAGTTATCCCTCTGACCAACTAAGAACAAAAGAAGGACTTTTTTAGGTTTTCTAAGAAAAATTAATGTGTAGTAAACCGAAATTTAATTGAAACTCCTGATTTTCAAAACCTTTAACCATTTTCACTTATATATAAAGAATGTAAACATACGGACACGCGTCCACTGGATGTGTGTCAGATCAACGGCAAAGGACCATGTCCGAAACAATATCATACTCACTCTTGCAAGCCCTCATCAACATGTACCCTATGTTAATCCACCTAACTAGCCTCACCCTGTAACCCTGACCACACTCATCAACTCTCTCGCCATCGACTCAAAGGTGATCAACATTGAAAATCGATTATCTAAGCTTGGTAACCTTGTAAATGAAAATTAACAAGGCTAATCTTAAATCAAGAGTTGACACCCTTGATGATTATGAAGATAATGAGATGACAGCTATGATGGGATGAAACAGAACAAGAGAGCCATTGAGAAGGAGCTAAAATCCCTCAAAGAAAAGGTCCCCACTAACTCACTCGAGCTGAACGGGGCTTTGATTCACCAGAGGAGTAGTAGGTCTTTAAGGGGACAACCTGATATTTTCATATATCACTGAACCCCAACACGAAGATGAGTCTGTTCGGTTTCTGATTTCAATATTTGTTTCAATAGAGTGCTTAGGACTCCCATGTCAACAAACAGCTCCATTCGTCATCAGTCTGCCCTACACAGGTACAGCCAGCCATCAAATCAGCTGACTTCTTGAACACCAAGCTTGATGTAGTGTTCCAGAGATGAAACATCAACCAGAACATTCTCAAAGCCAACGGCAGGCCTTCAACAACATCAGATGATCCCACCGGTGCAGTTTATCACATTATATGTGATTGTTTGAGAAACGCCAGGGCCACTCCAAATAAGAATTAAGGAACATCAAACCTCAATTCATCAAAGACAAGCCACACTTGGCTAACAGTGATGACATCAAGTTTTAACGTGTCCATCGTCTTGGGCGATACAACAGGAAACCTCAACACCAAGCTAGACCAGGCCTATGATAGCCACGTTTATCTATACTGTGGAAAGAGATGCTATGAAGAGGGCTGGGAGGGAACTCAAGGGACAAGACTATAGGATATTCGAGCAGTTCCCAGAGGAGGTGAGCAGCTATAGGAAAGATGTTCTTATGCCTCTCCTGAGAGAGGCTAGGAGAGAGAACAAGAAAACCCACATGACAGTAGACTTGAACACTGTAGATGTACATAATGTTGTACATGTAAATGAAGAAGAGAACTCTACGACTAGGGCTTGTACTGCTCTTCATAACAATGCCCTATGTGTGTCTTCCCAGAGCAGCCCGACTGCTGATAAGGTAGCTAATGTAAATATTATAAATAGCATTGATATTAGTAACACTGTCAAGGATTCAACCTCGAATAGTGTATATAAAAATAAGATTTCTGATAGAAATGCAAATACAGAGACTTTAAGATTCCAGTTTAGTTGATAATGTCCTATCTTCATGTATATGCCATCCATGTTTAAGTGAATCTGATGTTACTGAATTTTCTCATCTGTACTCCGATATCCATTGCCCAATTGTGTTTTCACTCATTTTACATAGTAGTAATACAGCCATAGTCAGTACTGCAAGTAAGCAAAATATAATTTCAAACATCCCTCTAAAAGATCACGATGCAAAACCAAAACATTATGAAAAGGATAAAACAAATGCATCTGCAAATAATGTCAACACAGAAGCTGTCCCCAAACTGACCCACATATTGAAATCAACAAAAGGTCATGACGACCCAGCACATGCTATCAATGAATTTGCTGAAGAGATCGCGCAATTGCTCACTGATGCAGTACAAGCGACGTTTGGGGAAAGGCGTCCAGTCCGCCCAAACCTGAGAAAAAGTAAAAATAACAAACCCTGTTTGGGGACTGAATGTCAAAATAAACGTAAAACATTTTATAAATCAAAACGCCGATTTTAAAAATAAATCAGAAATATAAAAATGTATTATCGACAAGTGCCTTGTTAAACATATTAATAAGTACAAAACTGAATTTAAAACCGATGACTGGCATCTCAGATATGCTATGACCGTTCATTCTTCCCAAGGTCTAACTATCAAAGATCTAAGAGTATGGACACTCAATAAGTTCGTACAATGGTCTAATCAGCCATATCTTGCAGTATCCAGGGTAGAACACTTAAGCCAACTTCAGTGTACACTAAATAATTCAGAAGAAACAGCTGAGCATAGAAAAGATAGGAAGTTTGGCCTCTATATTGATTTTGTCCTTCAACTAAGAGGTAAACAGTGTAACAACTGCACTGTGTGTAATATAGACATGTTACGGAACTAACCGCCGTCAGATACACAGCAGTTTTAATGTAGATAGATTAGATAACAGGTAAAGGACGCCATAAGGGAAATATGCGTTTGACATGTATGGAATGTAATCGAAAAGTAGGAAGTGCATGCTTTAGCATATAGAGTGTTGCACTGTATTTGTAGGAACTTTAAGTAACTCTTCATGTACAAACCCTCGATCTGGACCACTATTTAGATAATACAACACTCG